GAAATGCGCAGAACTAACATCAGTTTAAAAAAATCGGTTTAAAAATAAGGGCTGTCAAATTATTCAATATTTTCAGTTTATTAATTGCAGAGTAATGGTGAGTTATCTCATGATTAATCACATTTTTTACATTCTATTTCAATTGAAGTTAAATGAAATGATCAAATGTAGTTGTAGGTTTGATTTGCTCACAACCTTTTACCTTTGGGCACAACCAACATGAGCTGTTAATGAAAGGGAAAATGTACGTACCGCAGCTTTAATTTAGCGAGTTTAGTTGCGTTTCAGGAGGAGACACGGACACTTCCTGAGGCTCCATAGTTCAGCTTCAGCGGCGTATTTGGTTGCACAGGTTACGAACAGGTGGTTAAAAGCTCAGCATTGCTGATGATTTGGTTTAGTCCAACCTCTTGGGTTTTAGTCCTAAACTGAAGTATCATGATGTAGTCCTACATGTTTTTATCTGGAAATTGGAATCAGTTACGTGCCAATCTCAGTTGCAAGTTGCTTTCTCATTTTTAGAACAGAGCTATGTAAATCTCAGTGAGACCCTGGTGGAGGCATGATGACATGCTTGATGAGTGATTATCGCACTACTGATGGTGGGGAGGAGGCGGGTTCATGCACAAGATGAAGGCGCAGCGCAGAGCTGTGAGCCACTGTTTAAATGCAGCAGATGAGACTGACAGCTGATTAGCACAGGGGCAGGTCTGGACCTTTTTTGTATATTTTATCCACCAAACAATATTGCAAAACTAAATTCGGCAAGAATTAACATTGAAAAGTGGTGCCATCCCTGTCACCAGCACCATTATCTCTGGCCATATCAAAGTATGCCAAGTTAGCTGTCAAAGTAGGTCACAATATATTTATCAATAATTGTATCTTTTGCAATAGGATTACATGAAATAATAACAGTGTTAAGCTGAAAACTGTTTTATGTAGAACTCCTGAGGACCACTATAATAAATGGACATTTGAGATCTCCTACAGAGAGCACGGTCCTAAAAGTAGGGCTCAGGGGAGGAGGGGAGGTGATATATAGGTTAGTTCGGTGATTATAATTATGAGGGGGGCCTTGGACCTAGATATGCCACTGTTGCTGTGAAGTGTCTCACTGCCATCTCCCTCCTTCCCTGTGCCTCTCTAAAGCACTCTCCCTACCCCCCGCCCTTTCCCTTGTCCTTGCCCGCTGCTGTGATGTGTCTAGGAGGCCCAGTCTTGCCCCCTCCCCTCCCTGTAATCCGCCGCTAATCAGCTGTCAACATAATGGCCCTAAGAGTCACAGAGTCAATGTCAATGGGATCGCGGCGCTCGCATCGGGGGGAGCGGGAGAGAAATGGCTGCCGCTGACATGACCAGTCATTTTGAGCCCGAGCATCTGCGGCCCAGTAAATAACCATCAGTGGGCGGGGCCAGGGGACAGGCCATTAGACCTCTGCGAAAATAAATACCCGCGGACCGCACGCCATTGAGCACAGAGCGGGAATTTCACTCTAGATTAAGTGTGATGAGCAGCAGGGCGAGCAGACCGCAAATGTGTTGGATGAATAGATTTAGGTTTGAATAAAGAGGCAAGAGGTGATGCTGACGATGGTGACGATAGATGGTACGGACTGACGGCAGCAGACGTCACTCACTCTGCTCTGAAAGAACACTTCTTTGCTAGGCCTGTTCATTTGTGCAGGACTGAGACAAACATGTTCGATAAAGTGTTTCACAAAACAAGAAAACATGATCCAAGCAAATAAAGTCCTAATCACAGCACATTTATTTGTTTTAAAGACATGACAAGTGCAGATACAGGAGTCCTTCAACAAGAGCGGGCCAGACCATCTGCGTCTCGTTTGATGGTTTTATTCAAAGGCTGTCCACAAAATATTATTCAGGTTGAAAATGAATATGTTTGTCAGCCGTGATACCTTCACTCAACCCACAGACCATGGATCTGAAAATTGCATTTGAGCAACAATTGTATAACAAGTAATATCACAGCAAATAACAAGAACATATTACAAAGTATAATTACTGTGTATGCATAAGTACACATACTGTGTATGCATAAGTACCCATACTGTGTATGCATAAGTACACATACTGTGTATGCATAAGTACACATACTGTGTATGCATAAGTACCCATACTGTGTATGCATAAGTACCCATACTGTGTATGCATAAGTACCCATACTGTGTATGCATAAGTACACTTACTGTGTATGCATAAGTACCCATACTGTGTATGCATAAGTACCCATACTGTGTATGCATAAGTACCCATACTGTGTATGCATATGTACACTTACTGTGTATGCATAAGTACACTTACTGTGTATGCACATTGTAGGGTGAGGAAAAGGTGAGCGCCAATCGGGCGTGAATAGCAGACCCTTTCCGTAAACAGGCCCTCCCTAGCTCCTGAGACTTCAAAGTAACTGCGGGTTCAAATAAAAGCTAACATTCACCAGGAACGCCGCAACGAAACCCAGAGGGGCAATAAAAACAACAGAGCGGACATCTGTGTTCCCTCCTGCCGGACAGAGATCAGGAATCATCCATCAGCAGTCGCTCGTGAGAGAGAGAGAGAGAGAAGAGAGAGAGAGAGAGAGAGAGGAGAGAGAGAGAGAGAGAGAGAGAGAGATGAGAGAGAGAGAGAGAGAGAGAGAGAGAGAGAGTGAGAGAGAGAGAGAGAGAGAGAGAGAGAGAGAGAGCTCTGAGAGAGAATTTGCGTGGAGCCGAAAGAGCACGTAACTTTTCACAGCTCAAGAAATAAGCAGCCATACGGTTTTCTTACCGTTGTTACTTTATTTCAGAGACAACTCAGCAAATATCATTTAGTGTACAAGAGTTCAAGCTGTGGAATACATGTTTTTTGTTAATTCCTTTACATGGAACTCTTTTTCAAGTAACACGAGTGAGCCCTGTGGAAACTGCTACACGGGAAACTAGACCCAAATACTGTGTAACGTAACCAACAATAACACTGTCCTTTGTTGCTATCATGGATCTATTATAATAACTGGATAGGGTATTACTAGCTTGTAGCTGAATAACTCATGTGCTCAGGGGATTCTCGCGGTACTGCAGCTTGAACCAGACTAAATTCACGTGGGCTACCCAGAAATTTTCCCCATAGAACTCAATGCATATTAAAACAGCTCAACCTCAGCTGACAGAGAACCTACAGCTTTCATAAAGGTCGGATTTTGTGGGGATTTTAGTGTCCCTTGTCATCCTGAACTTTTTTTCTTCTTAAATCCTTCGGTTTTGTTTAAATCCACACTTTAGTGCCACAAACTCTGCTCGTCTGGCTCTAACTCCCGCTCTGATGAACTGCTCTGATTGGTCGGAGCGTGGCCGAGCCCCTCTGTGCACGTGCGTGAGACCCGGTGTGAGACCCACACACGCGTGTTTGGCGCAACGCATTATGGGAGATCATCCACTGCGCAGAACCGGGAGGACCAGACGATGCCCAAATACAGGCGAGTTTCCCATAGATCTTTGCGAGTTTCCCATCGATCTTTGCGAGTTTCAGGCAACTTCCGCTAATCTTTCAGCCCCCATGCCGTCACAAAGCGCCACTGAGCACAACCATTCATTTGAATAGGGCGCCATCTTGGATCGCCGGGGCTTGGTTGCTATACATGTTCAAATGTGATGGTTTTCATGAACACAAACAAACACACACAGCCTAAATAAATAAACAGGAATATACAGCTATAATGATTTGAAACGAGCACGTTTACCCAAAAAGACTAACTCATCAAATTAATGTAGTATCATCTTGTTATTCGCCTTGGTTTCATTACAATCCATTCATTAGAAATCCCATATCAACCTGTTAGATTCATGTTATCAACCGATGGACCTGCTGAAAGCTAGCGACAGTCTTTACCTCAGTAAAATGACGCATGCGCAGACCAACTGACAGAGCACATAACTCGTCAGAACACCGGATGTGTCATATACATTTTTCACCATTGAATGTTTTCTCGTTGAATTTTGACTGTTGAATTTGACATTATGAAATTGATAATCAGTGACTAGAATTCACAGAAAAAAATATTCCAGATGTTAAAAACATTCAAATAGATGAATTCAAGTCCATTTAAAATTCAATTTCTGATGGGACAAATAATCCGTCTGTTTTTTTTACATTGAAAAAAAAAAAATTAAATATTTTGAGGGTGAATATGTCATTTTGAAATTTTAATCACATTTAAATTTGTAAACTGAATTTTTAGTGACTGAAAAGTAAAGATAAAAATATTCAAACTTGCTTTTTCAGGTCTTTCTGGGTAATGTGGTTGTGAGTGTCTTGCCTAAAGACACGACAACAGTTTAGCACTTTACAGCCACAGCCGCCCCACTGTGGCGCTCAGAGGTCTCCCATCACAGAACTAGCCAGGCTCTGCCCTGCAGTTGTTGATATTAGTTCAGCACTCTCCCTTGCAAAAAGGTCCTGGGTTCGAATTCCCGTTGAACAGGGTCTTTCTTAGTGGAGTTTGCATGTTCTTCCTGAGTCTGCATAGGATTCCTCCGGGTGCTCCGATTTCCCCCACCTCTAAAAGCATGCACAATAGGTAAATCCTCCAGCTCCTGTCCCGACCAAGCCGAGCATCAACATCTGGAGATGGGCCCGTGTGCTGTACTACGACGACCACTGTTCCTAACAGACGCCTAGAGGCATCAGGATGGGTCAAATGCAGAGGACCAAGTTCCCTAAGGGTGTAAATAAAGTGCACATTTACAAATATAGTGCACATAAACATTTATATTTAAAATACTGTGAAGACTGTTCTTAATAAGTCCCCTGTTATTTTAAAGTCCTTTCTCGCCTTCTACTCCACAGATAACAGTTGGGCAGGTGGTCAGCGCACTCTTCCTAAACTATAAATCACATCCGGATAGTAAACATTCAGCGTTGTTCTCCTTCACAAGTGTGACTGCAAGTGTCCGCTGGCCTCGTGTGGGCGGAGCCTGGACAGATGGAGCGCAAATATGGACGCCCGCACCTCCTCGGGACGCCATCTCTGTGAGCTGAGAAGAATGCCTTTGTGCCGGCGCCGTGGCTGCGTGCGGACAGATGGAGGCACTGTGGTGGGTGAGCGCGAAGATATTACGCAACTACTGTTTCCCACTCGCTCGGACACAGCTCCTGCCAGTGCAAGTGCCATAAGGACTGGTCTGTGCCGCCGCGGCCGCCATGGCAAGTGAGTGCTCCGGTAATGCTGCTTTTACTGTAGCTGTATGCACTAACATGTACTGTACATCTGTGACATGTTAGTGCCGTTTGAACCAAATCAGACTCTGAGGAGCATGGGGACTGGCTTCCTGCTGGTGCCCAGAGTCAGGACTAAACATGGGGAGGCTGCATTTAAAATTCATGCAGCTAAAATCTGGAAGAGTCTTCTTGAAAATGTGAGACAGGCTTCTTCGCTGACAATGTTCAAATCCAGGTTGAAAACAGTTCTGTTTAGTTGTGATTAAAACTGGGTGTCTTTATCTTGTTTCTTTCAGCACTTTGAGTTGCCTTGTGTATGAATTGTGCTATACAAATAAACTTGCCTTGACTACTTCCCCCCATTGTTTTACAGGTACAATTCAGAAAGGGCATCATTTATCGACCATCTGCTCACTTGTGAAAGTGATCCTCACCCCGTAACATTGGAGTAAACTTATTCATCATGTACTTTAGCATCCGTGTTTTCAAGAAAATTGGAGACCACTTGGAGATGTTGTCTTTTATTCTTTGTTTTTATCGTAGTTATGGTATGTATACTGTCTTTATCTATAGGACGCGTATGAATGTGCGTATGGGACCAGGTCTCCAAGACAAATTTACAAATGAACCTAGAATAATAAAAGATGTATTCCATCTTTACAACCCTGATTTACTCTGTGGACGCCCAGGGGAAGAATGGGAGATTTGCAAATGGTAAATAGCCGCCCACACGCCTTCCTCCTCCCCAGACACTTCCTCTCAGCTGCAGATACATGTTCACGCAGCATATTGAAGAGTCTGAACATATGAGCCATCAGCGCTCTGCCTCTCTGCTCATTTCGGGACACAAATAGGATTTATTTCAGAGGGACATTTATTTTTCTAACTTATTGGCAGAATAGCAGTTTCACGTTCATATGGAATAAATTGACACAACATTTCACTGAAGAACCAAATGAATCCACCATAACTATGACGTCATGGCTCGACACATTATGCATTTAAAGTTCCAAACTATCGTTGTGTCCTTAGGCAAGACACTTCACCCACTCTGCCTGGAATGAGTCTGGTGTGTGCGTTAATGATTGGTGTTGGTCTGAGGGGCTGATGCCACATACTGGTTGCCTCGCTTCTGTCAGTGTATCTCATGGCAGCTGTGGCTACAGTAGTAGTTTATCACTACCGTGTATGGAGTGAATGAAGTAAAAGACACGGTAATTTCTGAAGGCTTAAAGACAGACTTTGGACCCTGGCAATAAAAGCAAACTCCAGCCCTCCAAATATAGACCATATTTGTGCTTAATGTAATCCCTGTGTTTTACTGCTCTACTACTGTACGAAAATCTTGATACAAGTTACATTTTCATTCTAGGTTTAGTAGTTATCGGAGTTAAATATGTAATCTGGACTTACTTACAAAGATTGTAGCCCACCTAAGTTGTGCAGTTTACTTTGCATTAAGACAACAGGAGCCAGGGGCAGAGTTTCCATGAGCACTTCCCTATTGGGCTTCATTGAGAAAGGGGGGTGAGCATTATCCATCTATATTCAATCCATGGTACATACACAAAGGTTACATTTGTGAATTACTGCATAAATGTTGTGAATTATGAAAATGCATTTGGAAAAAAACACTCTTTTGTTTGTTGAAGATGATGAATAATCTAATATATAAGGAAAGGAAAGGAGAAGAGAAAGTCTATTGATGTTTTTGATGGTTTTGTATGTACATTTCCAGCAAGAAAATCAACATAATATTTAAATCTCATTCATGGTATTATCTATAAATGAATTTGTAAAAAACCATAGACGCATAGAGGTTTTTAAGGGTGATTAATAATTTCCAGAAGGTAAAAATGGCCGCCACAATCATCGTGGAAATCCTTTCTTATGCAGGCCTGGGAGATATGTGCAATTGAAATACCTTGAAAATTAATTATACCATAAATACAAAACTATTATGTCATAGGTTGTAAATCAGCATCAACATGCCGCTTTAAACTTTCCATTCAACAAGAGCTAAGAATACCACAATTATCAATTACAAAAGGCCCTGTCTTTCCTGTAATTAAATCTTGTCACAGTAAAATTAGCGTTCGCCGTAATGACCTCCTCTTCATTATTCAGCTTGCCGCACGCTAATGTCCGCCGCACCTCCGAGGATTCCCCCGTGCGCTCACCAGGATTAGCCGCGAACATGCTAATTAGCCTATAAGGCCTTAATTAAACAAGGCGGCTTTAAAGTTGTGGCCCGTGTAACGTATCAGGCTAATGCTAACGTCACCTCTTCACACGCTAACAAGGCCGTTTCGCTCACACCATGATGGATGCACTGAGCAGAGAGCAGAGGCTGCAAAGCATGATGGGATGTGGCACAAATCCAATGTACACAGCTGCAGCCAGCCCGGGGGGAATGGGAAATCAATACGACCACAACTTAACCCGTGTTCCATCGATTGTGGGCAGTGTGCGGAGGAGTGAGATTGAGAAGTCATTAGTGTGTCAGTATGTAAGTGTATGTTACAGTTTGATAGACTTCCGATAACCCATGCTCGACTACAGAAAGACTTGAAATTAATGGCAAGGCAAGTTTCTTTGTATAGCACAATTCATACAAAAGGCAGCAGCTCAAAGTGCTGAACAAAACAAGTCGCACAAATAATCACATTACATTAAAAAGAGTTATGTCAAAAGCAGGTTTGTGAAGGAGCAAGACACATGATGGTCGATTGCAAAGGCCTTGTCTCCTCAGGTCACTGAAGCTAAGCAGTGCTGGCCCTGGCTTGGATTGGATGGGGGATCACAATACCATGTGTTACAAAGGTATTTGACAAATTGTTGTGTCCTAAGGCCAGACCCTTCACCCATTTTGCCTTGTATTAATGTACACCCTTTAGTGGTTGTTTGTGATCGTTGGTGGTGCAGATTGACAACCTCGTCACGTAACAATGAAACCTAAATACATTTATGCACATTTATCAACATTTATGAACATTGGTCATCTGCCCCTTATGGACCAATGGCTGGATGTGTTTTTTATCAATGTATTTCTTTATTTTTTTAACTGTTTGATTCTCTGAAGTAACTACGGTTGTGATTTAGAACACAGCAACTGAAATTGAAATAAATAGTAGCATTTATTTGGGCCGTTTCTTCAGGATCCCAGCGGTGGTCCATGGTCCCTATACTGTAGGTGTAGTGGGAAACCTGCACTCTGCACCCACTGTGCTCTGTGTGTCTGTATATGCTGTTTCTTACTCTCTTCAACCTCTCCTCCATCTTCCACCTCCACTTTCTACCCTCCTTTACCCTTGTCCTCTGCTGCCTCTGCTCCTCCACTGACAAGTAAGTAAGTAAGCAGTCTTTATTTAGCGTTGTTCAAAGACAGAATCACAAAGCGCTTTAGTATTGCTGTGATTTGTCCAACCATTCCACATGGTGAGCGAGAGGACAAATGATGCCTCCTCAACCTCAGATTTCAGTCGTGGAGGTTGGCCTTTTTCCCCCTTGTTCCTCTTGTCTGAGTAGGTTTCCTCCGGCTGCTCCGGTTTCCCCTACCACAACAAAACATGTACTATAGTCATGAATGTCATGGGCGAGTGAATGGACGATGTTCTTGCCTCCGTCATCACTGTGGTGGAGTGAATGGAATAAAATCTGAACAGATCTCTGAACATTGTTAAGCGCTTTGTTGACCTTTGTTTGTAAAATGTACTTTATGAATATACGTTACTTACTTACTTTCTCCTCGGATGATGGAGGCATTGGTGCCCTTGTCTACTTCAGTCTGATGAGGTGGTGGGGCTGTCCTCCTCTTCTTTAGGCAGAGGAGGTGGTGGTTCCTTCCTCCTCCTCAAACGGAGGAGAAGGTGGTGCTGTGATGGAGTGACAAAGGTTTGCTCGGTAGCAGCTGGCCCGGCCGTGTCTGACTAATGAACGGTGAAACAATCAGGCAGTGGCCATTTGTGTTTAGATCAGTAAATATGGCAGTGAACAAGTGCCAGACCGACGCTCGCACCCCAGCTGGGCCCGCAGATGGTCGGGATAGGAACGGGACGAGAGGGAGAGAGGGACCAGAGTGAGCGTGTGTCTTGTGTGTGCGTGTGCGCGTGTGAGGGGGGGCTGCTAAAGTCAGGATCCTGCCCCACTCTCTGCCCATCAGAAATGCACTTCCAATATGTAAATGACACTTTAGAATGGCACATTTACTTTATTTGTGACCACATGGTCCTGTGCTACAAGTCAAGTCAGTGAAGTGTCACAGACATAGAGTTGGTATCATATTATTACGAAGATACAACATATTTATTTTGCAAACTGATTTTTTTCTCTACTCTTAATTTGCCTTTGGGATGACATCACACTGTTGCTCTTATAAAAAAGGGGAAATTCTTGCCATAACGATGGCAAGAATTCCCCCATTCCCCCAGAATTGAAAATGACAATTCAAAACACACATTTAAATTGTTGTAAGAAAGTGCATTTGTTTTAGTCTTGTAATCCAATTAAAAACTGTTTATTATCACAACATGTAGTAAACCTTGTCTGATCTATATGGATTGAAAAGATGTGCCAACTCAAATGATATGGATTGACATGAATAATGGATGGTGATATGGATAGTGAATCACCATCAAGTGGTAGATTTGGGTATTTGGATTCTGCTACTGCATTAAATGCTAACATAACATAATTGAGCTTCTAAGTCCCGCTTCTCCAGGTCCGGAAGAAAAAACTGCTTTTCTATATGAGCACGTATGAGTTTGATACAGCTGGGTACAGAGTATACAGAGTATAAGGATACCCCAAAGCTCATCAGTTTTGCAGTCATTTGTGACCACAAAATGTTTTGTTTCAACACATGTTTCTAATGAGCAAAGTGAGTTTAGTTTAGTTGGAAATGACTCTGCTAATGCTAGTACCTTTTAAAATGATGAATCATGTGTTGGGCTCCATTACAGATGACATACAGTCTCTGGGGGGACGTTAAGCCCGACCAGTGAAAAAGTTCACAGTGATCGCAGGACTACCATGCATTCTGGGTATTGTAGTTTTGAGACAGATCTTGCAGTTAAGCACTATCTTTCCGAAACTAGATTGATCTGAAACATGATAATAAAAACTTTTAAATAATAGTTTATACTTTTCCTAATTCCTTATGGCAGGGCCTATGGGTCTCCGACCTTTTTCAACTGGAGAGCTTTCTCAGGACTAAAATGAGACAGAGCGTCTATTAAATGGTGAGAGCAAGCCTTGGATGGGCAACTGTTATAATCAACAGTCATTATTTCTCATTTAATACAGTTTTAGTTTTGGGAAGGTGAATCATACATTTTGTAATATTTCAAATACTTATGTAAACTTCCCATACTTTGGAGAGCTACTTGAAAGGGGTGACGAATTGATAGCTCCCAAGACCACAGGTTGGAGACCCCTGCCCACAGAAAGGTGGCTTTTACCTCCAGGCCCTGAGTCCCCGCCCACTTCCAAGCTCAATTGGAAGCACAGTTGTAAAGGACCTAATTTGACTGTAGAACTTCACAATCACGTTAAAGGCAGTTTGATACAGCTGAAGAGGGAATAATGTTGTGCCATGGTAAAAAACTCTTAGAAGACCCTTTTGCTCTATATAAGTCTTTAAATGGCCACTATAAAGCCATCATTTTCTGCTCTCTCGGAATCTGACATCTTCACTTTGGCATTCAAGTGGAAACAGGAATTGAACCAGCGCCCAGCCATCAGAGGAGGGGAGGAGTGCTGCTATTAAAAGACACCATCAACCTAATTAACCTTGGGACATATCTATGGGAGGGGGAGAAGACTGCAGCCACATAAATCTCTGTAATAAGAAGGGATCTGGTCTGAAGCAGGAGGGGAACGCGGCGTGACGGACAAGATTGACATAACGAGATGTGGGGAGTCTAACTCGCAACCAACTCACTGGAGACAAAAGTAAGCCACAGTAGCACATTATAGCAACAGTAAAATGTCGTATAATTCTGATCCGTATGTGAATTCTTGTCTTAAAACCTCTTTATGTGGATCATAAAAGTCTGGGGTCGTCATTAACGGGATTCAGAACAACTTAAAGTGCAGTAAAGTGGGTTTAAGACGTTACTGAATTGAATCTCTGGTCTATGGCCTTTCCTCTCTCTCTCTCTCTCTCTCTCTCTCTGTCTCTCTTTTACCTAGTATGTATGTATATATATATATATATATATATATATATATATATATATATATATATATATATATATAATATAGGTGTTTTAGCATTGCTATAGGAATCTTATAGTAAATCAATCTGAATGAACATTAAAGAACTAGAAGACCAATCTGCAACTCTTGATTCAAATACAGCAAATATATTCTGTTGTTCTGTTGGCAGTAAGGAAAATATGTTTCAGACTGTTTTTGGCAATATCTGTGTCAAAGGACAGAAGATTGTGTGTATCAGAACTGTATCAGCGTAAGGAAGCCTGAAGCCTCGAGCGGCTTCATTTTTTTAATGTCTATAGAATAGATATGTGTTTGTTTACTCTGGTCTCCAGTAAATTCCTCATTCCGGGCAGATGATTTCAGAGCACTGCCAGGTGGTATTGGTGACGTGGTCACTTTTTCATTGTATATGTGCACATTTACTGTCACTTTGATTGTAATACAGCTCTTGGTTGTTTTTGCTTGGGTGGCTTCAGATTCAGATTCAGTTTATTTGCCATTTGCAGTAAAAGAACCACATTGGAATAAATTAGCAAAAAGTCTCCAGTGTGCACAGACAAATACAGACATAAAACAACATTAAAAGACAGAAATAAAACAAATAAAACAGTAAACAAATGTCACTGAGAAATCGATCGACTAAAACAGTTTCAAAACAAGTGCAAATCATTAAAGTGCTCTGTTCACACTGATAACAGCTTGTGGATAAAAACTGTTAGTGTAACGAGATGTCCTGCATCTCAGAGAGCGATATCTTCTCCCAGAGGGAAGAAGCTGGAACATGGCTTTCCCAGGGTGGCCAGAAGAGTCATTAACAATCCTAAGCTTTGTATAAAAAGTCTGGATTTATAAAGAACCTCCAAAACAGGAAGCTCACAGCCCACGGTCCTCTTTGCAGAGCGGAGCACCTTGTTTAAAGCTCTCTTTTCTTTATCTGTGATGTTTCCAAACCACACAGACACAGAACCAACAAGTAAACTCTCAATGGTGCAGCGATAAAAGTTGAGCAGAATCTTAGAGTTAGTGGTAAATTCTCTAAGTTTACGCAGAAAGTAGAGACGCTGACGAGCTTTCTTAACGACTCGGTCAGTGTTTTTAACCCATTTCAGGTCGTTAGACAGAGTTAAACCCAGAAACTTGCACTCCTCTACGATCTGCACCTGGGAGTTGTCAACTTTAGGCCTGTGCAGAAATTCCACAGCACATTCGAGAAAGGATAACTCAGGATGTTAGGAACTATTATCCTACAGGTGAAATGCATAAAAATAGGATATCAGTTAAAAAAATAGGTCATTTCTGTAATTCATCTTGAAACCAATAGAGGTATGGCAATATGAACTATTCGCCAAGAAAAACAAATCAAGTTGCAGTATTTTTCCATTCAATTAATAACTGCATCCAACACACTTTTAAACAGCCAGAAGAGAATGTTGTCACTTGAATGCAACCTATTGCTTGGAAAAACAATCAAAAATAACCTGCAAAATCAACAACCCCACATAAGGATCCTTGGATTTCTAAAAAAGAATCCTAAATCAATATTGCACATTTTGTCTGTTTTTGCCCATCTCACCATTCACTTCCTGTCCTTTTCGCTCTTCCTCCAGGCCTCTTGCGACCTCATGCACCATCCACACTGTCCATCTCCCATATAACATCATCATTCCACCTTTTTAATTCCTCTCATCTCGTCCTTTGCCTTTGCCCCTCTCGGCCTGCCGTGGATGGGCTGTTTTCGCGGGACGTCTCCTGTCACGACCCGCGGCACTGGCTTAACTGGAGTGTCACATTCGATCAGCCACCTAAGCGCTCAGCTAAATGTTTATTAGGCAGCGGAGGAAGCAGTGGATCTGGGTGGAAATTGGACACGACCTCTGGGCTGTGGTCTGTCTTTCCCAGTGGAGCTAAATCATCAAATAGTTTCACCCCTCTGTAAGACTATGTGCGGATGAGAAAAGGTTTGGATGAAACTGGACAGGAGAAGCATTTGGACATTGAGAATGCATGATTAGTATGTAAATGGTGGTTTCACTATATGGAATATGCTAATTGTGATGGTTGGAATTATGGAGCTGTTATCGGTGCTAGCCAAGGGTTTCCTTAGATTAGGCATGTCAAACTCAGGCCCGTGGGTCAAATCTGGCCCACAAGACCATTGTCAGTGGCCTCTGAAATGCTTTTCAATTATTATTATTACAGTAATTTGCAGCATTGATGGTGATGGGATACTATGGTGTGTTGTGCTTTTATCAGGAAAACAACCATATAATTGATTCTGTTCTAAAATGAAGCGGAAGACCTGAGAACCCAGCTCTGAGAACTCCCAAACAGGAGCGCTCAGTTCTACTGCTGTTGCCCACAGCAACAGAAATCAGTCACATTTCAATCACACTCAGCTGCGCAGCGCCTCACGTAAATCCTCACCTGCAGCAATCAGGCACTGCCCGCATCAGCTTCATATCACGCAGAGCCTCCATCCAAGCAGCAGCTTCATTCATGCCGCAACCCACCTCCTCCCCATCGCAGCCTTGTTCCAGGCCAGCTCCTTCATCCTTCTCCTAGCTACCACCATCAGGGTCTAGGATTTCATCTCATAATCTCTTTCCCCTTCGCAATCGTGCAGTGCTCTGCCGGGGTCTAAGCTCCAAATCCCAACCACATT